ACCTGAAAGAAGAAATTATTGTTAAATTATTGAAGAGAGTGGACAATGGCCACTGAATAGCCATTGATCTAGCCAACGATGATATAGAAATAAACCAACGACGAAGCATTCGCATAGTGTACAAAACACTTGAATGCACAAACAATGAAATCTAGAATAAAAGAAATAGAATCTGAAAGAAGAAATAATTAAAACCTGAAACAAAAAGAAAGAATATTAACGCGGTCCTTCCGAAGTCGAAGCAACAACTGGCTCGAGCCTGCACGCGGGCCCCTTATATAGCGGCGGCCGGCCGAAAATCGGCGAAAATTTCCGAACTCTACCGATTCCTTTAAAAGTTACTTTTTCGCTGTAATAATTAACAATTTATTAACTTTTTTGACTTTTATCGTTGATATTCGTTGCAAACTATTTGTTATCAATGATTTTAATCTGTTATTAACAATAAATTTATTAATTTATTAACTTCTTGTAAGTTCCGTATATATTCTAACACAAATACGTTTAAGTAGTAGGCAATAATTTATTAGATTTTCCACTTTTATTATAAATATACGTTGCGAGCAACTTGTTATTAACAATATTAATTTGTTATAAACAATCAGTGTAATAATTTATAAACTTTTTGCAAATTATATTTTCATTTTGACACAAATTCGTTCCAAGTTCAAGTAATAGCCAGTAATTCCTTAATGTTTTCACTTTTATTATAAATTTATGTTATGAACAATTTGTTATTAAAATTAATAATTTGTTACTAACGATAAGTATTATAATTTACGTGTAATAGTATAGTTACGTGTAATTATTACTCGGAGTGTTCGAACTGATGCCAATAATACTATTGGTTTTTCACAAATTACAATCTTCTATGCAATTAATTTATAAATTACATGCACCCATTATACAAGTAATTTTCCTTGGGAACATTCTCATATGATTTTTGTTCTTATTTTACTTCCAATTTTGTTCATAATTAATTATTTTGTCGGACCATCGCACCGATCATTGTTATCGAATCACGTACGTCGTCAAGTAAATAATAAAAATAACAAATTAATTAGCGTTAAATTATGTGCAAAAATTACATAAGAATGTTGCGCAAGGAGCCAGCTATGCTATACAACTATAAAAGTTCATAAATTAATCGCAGAAATTGCATAATTTGATAATTTCCCAATTATTCTCCAATAATTCTCAATCGCTAATACGGTCTTCTTTCCTTCTTTAATTTGGAGGTCCAGCTGGTTAGGAGCATAATTTTGGATCAGACAAATGACCATAAGCTGATTTGTTTTTACCACTAAACTTTTTATTTAATATCGCAGATTCTTCTTCATCTTCTCTGCTTCTTCACTAAATGATTGAAAAGATTGAAATCTCTGTAACAAAATTTTTCATTGTAAACAATAATACTATAAGGGTTAAATTCTGCAAACATATATGACTTTTACTTTACTGCTGCTGCTTCAGTTTTCGAACTGTCCTTTACTACTTCACTTTCCTGTATTATTATCTTTGGTGAAATATCAGAAAATGGATTGTTCAATATTATAATTTTTATCAATCTCGGAGGATAAACTGGTCTATCATTCTACAAAAAAAGAGGAAATATTATATTTATATTAATTCTTGATATATTTTTTTGTAAACATTAAATTTACCTCATCTACAAGTGCTTCTTCAAGTTTAAGCATGTTATATATAGTTTCTCCAGTAACCTGACCAAAGATTGTATGTTTATTTTGCAAATCTAATTGGGAACTAAGAGTAAAGAAGAATTAGGAACCATTGTCATCTTCCCCAGCATTAGCCACTGCAATTAAACCGCGACCACAGGAACGTAATCTGAAACGAACTGAAAAAAAGTATACAATCCCGTTAGAGAAAATTCCACTCTACATTGATATATAGAACAAACCTAATCAAAATGCCTAATTTCGGAAATAGAAACCAAAAAAGTCTATTACGCCGCACGATTTCACGGCCACTGTCACGTTCGGCACTATTTTTCGAAAACGAACGCACCAAACCGAAAAAAAGTAATCAATCCTATTAGAGAAAATTCTACTTTACATTGTTAGATGAAAAAATTTGAATCCAAAAGCCTAATTTCGAAGATCGAATCCATAAAAGTCAATTGCGCATCACGATCTGACAGCCACTGACACTTTCGGCACTATTATTCGAAAACGCACGTTCGAAACCCCCAAAAAATATCCAATCCCGTTAAGGAAGAATTCCCTCTAAGCGGATATATAGAACAAAACTAATCAAAAAGCCTAATTTCGGAAATAGAAGCCATAAAAGTCTATTACGCAGCACGATCTAACACACACGGACACTTTCGGCACTATTTTTTGAAAACACACGCTCGATAAAGAAAAGAAATATCCAATCCAGTTAAAGAAGAATTCCCTCTACGCGGACATATAGAACAAACCTAATCAAAAGGCATAATTTTGGAAATAGAAGCGAAAAAAGTCAATTGCGTAGCGCGATCTGACTGCCACGAACACTTTCCCCATTATTTTTCGTGAACGCACGCTCGATACCGAAAAGAAATATCCAATCCCGTTAAAGAAGAATTTATTCTACGCTATTATGCCGAAAAAATCTAATCGAAAGGCTTAATTTTGCAAATATAAACAAGAAAACTAATCTGTGAAATATTCTAATCCACAATCAATATTTAGAATGTAAAAGCGATAATACATAACTATGTTGCATTTGAACGTCAAGATCGAAGTAAAATTGAGAAAACTATTAAAAAACTGCCTATTCAGAGTAATGTTGATCAAATATCCCAACGAACTGTCGAAATCTAGAATCTTCTACAGCAGATAATAACGGACAATGCGATAGTATTATAGGATCCCGCACTCACGCCACTTTATTTCCCACATGTATCGTTATACGATTTACACTATGTAACATCACTTTTTTTCACATATATTATATTACCAGCGAAGAAATGTTCACAGTTAGTAATCTTGAACTTCGTAAAGTAATTAAAACGTCAATCAGCGATATCACTACTTCATGAAACGTTTTGAGATTTAATGTTTCACTTTGACGCGTGAGAATATTCTATCACGTTACCATTATGCCCGCTTACCGCCAACTGGAAGTTGGCTGCAGCTGGATACGCTAGGTATTTTTGTAGCGGGAAAATGTTGCATCTGGTTAACTAGATATTTGAAATCAATTCGGCTGTAGAAAATTAATAAATTTCCAAGTTTTTGTAATTAATTCATGAACATTTATAGGTGCACAGCAAAGTTGGTATTATAGGCAACATTCTTATAGGATGTTTAATTTAATAATTAATACTTACATGAGCAATAGGTTTTGTATTTCATGTAGTAAATAAGATTGCTATAAAAAAGTATTTTTCTTGCGTAATATTTTTATTATTTTGTAATAAATATATACTAGCATAAGAAAGCGTAAAATATAAAATTTTTTATTAAGAAATTTTATTTATAATTGTATATTTACAATGTTTTCATCGGCGAAAAATAAATACAAAATAAAAAATATATTGAAAAAATTATCAAGGGCTATGAGACGGGAATCGAACCCCGGTAACTCCATGATAGCAATTCTCGATCGTCGCCGTTACGCTACAACTTAACTTGGAAGATATAAGAAATAAATGTGTAATTAAGGTAGTAATAAAACTTGAATTGCAAATATCTCAAAAACTATTGAATAGTTGCGGCTATAATGATATATTTTCTTAAACTGCATGACGATATCTACAAACCTACAAAGTTTCAATTAAATCGGTGACCCGAAGGACTTGCACTCTCCTTGTTAGTATATTTTAAAAAGAAAGTCATTTTTTATTTTACCTATATAATTACAGATTGTTCCAATGTATACAATAATGTTTATAATTTTGAAACTTATTTTCTATGTAATAAAATTAATTTTTTTTAATTTTATATGAATTACATGAAATGTATAAGATGTTTCATAAATTTTATATGAATTTTTATTTATTACAATTTTGCTTGAAAAGACGATTAAGTTAAAAATACAATATAAATATAAAAATGAACACTTAATTGCAAATTAAACCAATTCACTTGAAACTTAAATACATTTAACAAAAGTAAAACTTTTACTTTTGTTGTACAATATCAGTCCCAAATATTAGATGATAAAAGAGCTTGTTGTCAGTGCTGTGGTGGTGATGGTGTAGGTTTTGGCATTTTAGATAACAATCCTTGGATTTCTTTCTTTTCATCATATGTTTTCCATAATTCATATAAATTAATAATGTAACGTGCAACTTCTTGAATTTTTTCCATATCAGCATTTAATTCAGCAAACCATGCCTTTAAATCTTTTTGTAATATAACACAAGCTATTTGTAAACAGCCTACGAATATTTTCACTAATATAAATATTGTAATATAAAAGAGAAGGTATATCTTTTGTAATGTGATACTTAATTACATTAATTATTTTTATTTATGTATATTATTAAAATATTGTTTATATTGCCTTACCAATGGCTATTTGATGTGGTGGATATAATAAACACACGTCTGTACGTAAACTATCATTAATTATACGCCAAGCTAGTGTAAGTAATTGTTCATCTGGACCTGCATCTTGAATAAGAATTAATAAAGGCCGATATGGTTGATATACTATTAAACAACAATCTAGGTGCTCCAAAAGATAAAATTCACATTCTGAGATATGGCTTCCACGATAAGGAAATTCTTGTGAATAGGCGTAATTAAATTTATTTTTTACTGAAATAGTATCGAATGAATTAATATTTGTAATAACTTTATCTTACCTAACTATATATTTCTTTTATTAACTAATGATTTAGTTTATTCGATATTTACTTATTCTATATTATAGAATATAGTATAATTACATACCTACAGTTTGACAAGCTCCAATTAATCTATTATGAGAAATAACTCCAAATTCTTCTACTTTTGAAGCTAGGAAAACTGATGTAGGTGCTAATAATAAAGGGTCTATACATTTTAAACTATTACGAGCATAAAATCTTTTAAAATAAACAGTTGCTGTAGCTATAACTTGTTGTCTGAGTTTCAACTGTTCACCCAATACTTGTATTACTGAAAACACAGAAAATCTGTATCTAAATTATTTGATGAACAAATGTGAACACATGGTATGTATAAGTGAGACAAATACAGTTACATTGAATTGGTAAAATAATTCCCTAATCTTCACAATATTAAGTCACATTGACAACATTTTCGATTAATTGACTGATCGAACGTTTAGCTTACGATTGGAGAAAAAGATGAATAATTTTTGATATTCTTCTTCTGTGAAAATTGAAAGATCATGTTGTCGTTCGCGTACTAAGTCCTGTTTATCTAGAAGCCATTGTTGACTAAAAACAAGAGATTTATTTATTTTATGAAATAAAACCGAATTAAAAATTTATAAGAATATCTTACTGATGTGAACTTTGCCAAAAATTGCCAGCCATATTACTATCAAATTAACTGTCCTAAAAAAAAAACAAATTTTATATCACTGTAAACGTTTCTTAATTATTTTCAGATTCTGAAATATTGCATTTTATATTTGTTCATTTCATTTTTATTTATTACAATCACTGCGTGCTTATAAAATTTAATACAAATATTGTAAATGTCAACATATTTTCGCGGTTACTGGCATTATTTAAATTTATGTTTTCTAAAACAACTTTAATGTGGTCTTTTGTGTTCGAAAATTTACCAATTTTAATAAACTTGGAGATGACTGTACTTACCTGATGTAAAACTTCTTCGTTATTATTCCTCCAAATTTCCCTATGTTTTCTGTAATGCTATTCGTTAGAAGTTAACCTTTAACAAGTTAGATCCTATAGTAGTAACTTTCTGGTTACTGAAAATACTTAAAAAGACGTTTTCTTGAACGTAATGTAACGCGGCATAAATAGAAGTTTTAATATCCCAGATATAACATACTTATAAAACTTCCTTAACATTTTTCGTGATAAAATACACTAGATAGAATAAATTTTTTTACAAAATAGGCATACATGAAATGGCTTAACCGAAGAAAAATATGGATCAATGTTTCTTTCTATGCGTGGGAGTATAAGGATGGAGTAAAGTATGTATGTTTCGCATCACACTTATCGATCATTAATTGTAATAATTAGTCAATTTTATGCAAATAAATGAAAAAAATTGTTTAAAATACTTATTACGTTATCTATAACTTAATATATGTTTAGTTTATGTAATTGCTTATTAATTATTTTCATTACAGTAATGAAATTTTATGTTTCTAAGTTTCACAAGTAAAAATTATTTAGAAATATTTAAGTTTAAGAAATTAATTTGGTTAATAATGTTATTCATTTATTTTAATGAATAATGTTATAAATATTTTTGATCTTCCTTTTCTTTTCCGATTTGTATCATAATAAATAATATTATTCATTATTTAGTTATTTTATTAATATAACGCATTTTAAATATTTTCTATTTTTATACTTGAAATTTTTGAAAAATAGATGAATATGTCTTTTATATGCTTTTTAATATTTTTTTTATATGTTTATATTTTATACCTATAAAATAAATTGAACATTGCATTATATGTTTAACAAAAATTTGTGCGATTATCGATCCATAATTACGACTTAACCACGGCTAGACAAATGTACTGGAAAATGAACGCTCCAAGTTCATGGACATGTTTAAATAAGGATACGCAAGCCGATAGAAGTAACAAAGTCAATACTGTGTTTCATAAAATAAGGAACACATTATTAGAATATATCCTGATATTAAATAATATATCTTATGATATATATGAATTAAGAAATATAAAACACAACATTAAAATTGTATATAAATATGAATCATTAATATTTGATAGAAAAATATATGTAATAATTTAATAAAATGTGAACATATAATAATTTGATTTATTGAATATGTTACAATTCATACGAAATTTTTATTGAAAAGTTACAATAATTAATATATAAAATAATTTCATGTAACTTTTATACAAAAATGTTGTTATGAGAATATATTTAAAAATTTAACATATTGCAAAATTATACGATAAAAGAAGTTAAGGATTATGATAAAACATTTTATGCAAGTATCTCACAGAATTATGAGTAACTTAAACGTGCATTGTCCGCCATAGAAACGTTAGCGCGCTTAATTATTAACAAGACTGTATGAGCAGCATCGATGAATGAATCCTGTTGCGCAAGCTTTCATTGTAAAAGCGTCGATAGCTACCATACAGTCAGTCGGTTTCGCGGGGTGAACGTCGATGCGTGAGTTTCACTTAGTATTCTTCTTTCTGTTTTTGACCAAGAATTCCAAATTGTACGATACGATTATACTTGGATAAAATGGTTGATGTTTTGATTGATGAAGATATGTTGGAGAACATGCAAAAGAAGAGATGTTTTCGAAACGAAAGCGACCGTCGGTAAAACCTAAAGGGAGCAGGCGTGGACTGTGAGTTCGAGTCGGGCGTGGGGATGAACTCTACGGGGAATGCGAGAGGGAGGAGGACTGGGGCGCTTCCTGTGGTTGGCACTAGCCTAAAAAAGCTCCATAAACAGAATCGCGGCCGAATGTCTTTTCAATGCAACGAAAATGGTGAAGTGTGGGAAAAAGTGGGCATTGAGTAAAGGCTTCGACAGCTCGAACCATGACAGAGGCGTCGGAAGAGTAAGTAGTATTACAATGTCTGTAGTACTTTCCGATTGTTCCGCTCAGAAACCTGAAATGTCCGTGACTATGGCTTAAGATTTGTACTCCTTTGATATCACGTTTACAATGCGGCACCTGACAGTTCTGTCTGACCTCATCTTACTCATACTCCTGTCAACATTTTTGATATTTATCAATCGATTCATTTTAAGTTCGTCAAATTTTATATGATCTATGAAACAATTCTTTCTCTCTTAGAAACGTGTCATATTCATTGGACATCTATAAAAATTTACTCAAGTAAACGTATGATTTCGGTCAAAGTGTTGGTGTGTTATTCTGTGTCCGTGTAGGGGTGACCGTTCATTCATTAAATCGATGTCAGCGCGTAACATCTGCTACCTCGTATATAACCAGCGATTCTTCGCTTTTGCATATATGTCGGTCTTGCGCGTTTTTAAATTATCTTTAAAACAATTTCGTTCTTACGTTGATTTCAAAGTTTCTTACCAAGTGTAAATTTGTGAATAAAATTTGATTTTTCATAAACCTTATGTAATAAAAATAAATTTTATAGAATTGTATAATTTTGTTAAGTTAAAATTAAAATATAATATTAATTTCGTTTGAAAAAAGCAATGTTATAAATATGTTTTTACTTTGCATCAAGTAGTTAGTATGTAAGTTCTAAATATATTCTTAAATTATTACCTAAGCAATATTTAGTGAGTATATTAGTGTTAAGAAATGTAATAAAGAATTACTTATGAGTTTGTAATATTAATTTCTTGGCATTTTAGTTTTAGTGGTAACTATCTGGTGAGGGTTCGTGCCCAGGTAATGACAAGGGATGATAGTTCTGGTGGTTGGGTTCCTCTAAGTGGTGGTGGTTTAGCAAATGTTTCGGTTAGGCGAAGACCAACTTCTTCAGGTGGACATCAGTCTAATAATACCAATGGATCTGGTATTTCTACTACGACTGCCTCTACTACCAACACAATACAGTCTGTATCAACAACAAGTGTCACTAATACTCAAAGTCATGGATCTTCTAATAGTTCTCCACCTGGTGCAGCCAAGAAGAGGCACGAGTATCTTATTTATGGGAAACGCATCACTGATCAATCAGTAATAAACATATTTATCACTAATTGTAATACATTGTATTTTATATATTTACTGTAAGTTTTGGTACAACATTGTTGTATTTTATAGGTTGTTCTTAGCTGTACAATTAAAAAAGATTTTGAATATAATAAGGTAATGCCAACTTTTCATCACTGGAGGACAGGGGAGAAAAGATTTGGTCTGACATTTCAAACAGCTGCAGATGCAAGAGCTTTTGATAAAGGTGTTCGCACAGCTGTTGAAGAATTATTAGAAGGTAAGTTGTTGTTTTAACTATAGTATTTATTTTTATGAATTTAACAGTGATAATATGGTAGGATTATTTTCATTAATTTGCTTGTTATTTTACTGCTACTTTTTATGGAATGTACAAATGGTAAGATTATTAACATTGTTTTGAATGTTACTAACTTGTAACATTTTTATCTTAAATAAGTACCTAATAATGTTTTTTGTTATAACTTAGGATTGACCAATTCAACATTATATGGCAATTCATTAGATGCTGGCGATGAGGATGTTTTTATGGTATGTATTGAACAGAAATCAATTAAATTTAGTAATATATATAAAATTGATTTTATTTTATAGACTTTAAATTTACCCGTGGAACCACCAGAACCACGTCCATCATCAGATACACCTCATGGAATAATACGAGTGCCCAATTATCATTCCCAGTGTTCAGATCTTCCTGACTCACACAAACCTATTCATTATATTGATGGACCATCTATAAAAGTGCCACCATCACAGCATTCTTTAGCATCGACTGAAGATGTTGGATCAGATAGCTACTCTTATGTGCAGCTCACAACACTTAATCATGAATATTTATATCCCATCATTGGTGATCACAAAGGAGATCGGTTAAATAGACATAATACTAGCAGTTCTTTGAAGAAACCAGATATTATAGTATCTCAACCTTCTAAAAATACTATGAAACGTAATGTTCGATTACAGTGTAAACATTGCCAAGAGCTGTACACAGAGCAGCACAATCCTAGGGGATCTTGTGAATATGCACCTGATCCTGTTAAACAAGGAATCGCAAAAATTTCGTGTCTGTCTTGTGCTCAGGGTATGTTATACCACTGTATGAGTGATGCTGAAGGAGATTTTGCCCAAAATCCTTGCAGGTGAGTAAATTTATTAAAATATGTATTTCAATTTTTTTTTCCTTTTCCGATTTTTTAGACATTTTTTTCTAAAATGTATAATATATGAACTTCCAAATATAAATTTTTATTATCTATAATGTATTCAATAGTTATTCAATAATTTACTATGTACTTTTGGGATGATTACCTAAATATAGTTAAGAATACATTATAAATCAATATTGAATTGTGCAGTTGTAGTACAGAAGAAGGATGTGCATGCAGGTGGTTTGGTTTGGCATTATTATCAGTGATTGTTCCTTGCTTGTGGATGTATCCTCCACTAAGAGCTCTTCATTGGTGTGGCACGTCCTGTGGAATCTGTGGAGGACGTCATCATCCGATGGAATAACTGGAGGAACCCTTTGATATCTCTGCTCCATACTCAGTTGAATCAACCAATTTTTCTTCATCACGTGGTGTTGTGGCTAATGTGTATGAATGTCATGATTTGAGTATGGGCCGTTGTCAGAGATATCAAAGGGGTAGACAGCTTCCAGTACATGCACTTATCCACCAACGTCATCTTTGAAATAATTTGTTTCAAAAAAAAACCAAAAAAATACGAGCACAAATTATCGCATTTAGTTCTAAAACCATGTATATTCCATACATTTTGTATATTTTATTAGCAAATGCATTATTTAGACACATGTGTACATTAAACAATTTGAGAATGGACGTCGTTTAGTGTTTACTCTGAATGATTGGTCCATAATAACATTATTTGGATTGACCAACTATTTGTGATACATGGTGCACACTGTGAGAATCCAGTCAAGAAATGAGACATAATTTGTTATTTCCAGTTTAAAAGTTAATTTTTGCTTCTTATGAAAACAATAAGAAAAATGCTACATTATAAGATTAAATTTTGCTGTAGTATCAAGGAAGATGGTTATAGAGAATTAAATTAAAAGTTTTTATTTTCTTATAAATAAATTAAAAATATTATTTATTAATTTCTTTTGTGCTTCGAATTTCACCAGGAAACTAAAAATAATGAAGTTATACTATTATAAGATTGTATTTCAATTGTTTTTATTTTTTTCTTTTAAGATTATGTATAGTACTTGTATAATTGAACCCAGTGTTGAAAATATTTGTTTTATAGTATCTTGTATAAATTTATTAGAAAAAGTCATTTGAATTAAATTCAACTGAATTACAAGATATGCAAAATGTATGTTTGTATTTTAAACTTTAAACGTTATAAAGAAAAGTACAGATTTTTAATCTGCTTTGGTAATTAGCACAAACTGGTTGATAAAAGCTAGTTGCACTTTCACAGATATGTATAAAAAGTAATGACTAAAAATTATATCATGTTTTATAAAGAAATTATACAATCATTCAGGAATGATTGTGAATATTTGTAGTAAATAATTTTGTTTATCATTAACATGCAATTTTGTTCAAAGGTCCTTTTGTATTGTGCTCTTTGTATTTACAAAATATTAATATTTATATAAACTATATAGTCAGTTATCTGTTAAATGGACTTTCTTATGCTACTATGTTGGCACAATGTTAAATGCTAAATAATATCAGTATTTACTATTTACTAGCATGGTACTTTTAGTACTACCAATCTTATTGTTACTTCATGTACAATGAAGATAAGCTTAAGAAATTTTAAGTATACATACTGTCAGTTTGAGGCTTATTATACATTGGAATATATTTTCAGTTTAAGGCTAACTGAGTTCTACTACATTATAACTATGTACCTATATTGAAGAATAATTTTATGCAAATCTGGTTTGCATAAAATGGATTGTTTACAGATCTGAAACTTCCTATTTTACAATGTAGTATAGTTCTATAACATATATATTTGGCATTCTTAAAGAAAAAATTCTAATTTACTGTACTATTTGTATTCTTTGTTATTTTTCTAATTGTATTAGTAATTAGGAGGTAAATCATTTCATTCTATGTATTTTACAATAATTGAATGATATGGATACCATTTGGATATTTAGAAAATTAAGGTATTTTTGAGAGAAAGATGCAGTTGGTTTTTAGCAATAATTCTGCTTATTGGTGATCTGATTATATATTCTTTATAAGTAATCAGCTTTATAAACCACCATACATAATTTTTAAATTTTATTTATTTTAAGAATCTAAATTTTATATTCAAATTTTAATTGATGGACAATTAATTCTGAACTTATTAAAATGCTATATATGATTAAATGCAACATAAAAGTATAGTTGTTTTCTTGCTCATACTATGTGACCAGAATTATTAATGCAGGAAAACTAATAATAATTTTCAATTAAAGCTTCTAAAGTGACATGGTAGTTAGAATCAATGATCATATTATAAATGTTGTAGAATGTTTTTACATTATTTTTAAAGTACATTTTCTAATAAATAAGTGATAATATCACATGCAGCTTTGAGATAACAAAGTAAATTAAATACTAAATGGCTTGATCAACAAAACTTTTGCAGATATTTAGTTATTAAAAAAAGGAACATGAGATATTTTAGTAAATGAAGTGAGGAATTAATTATTACTGTTCAATAAGTTTCGTTATGCCTTATGTTTCTAGTCTAATAACAATAATGTATTTTTAGTTCATTTTTAATTAAAATATTTTTTTACATCAAAATTATTTTTTGCACGAAATTTTGAGTGATGTATCTATAAATCCTGTATATCTATCAATTGATGTAATTTTATTAACAAATAGTTGAAATTATTCACATTTAATGTACTATATATTTAATCTTAATTATTTTATTTTTCTCTTACATAATTTAGAATAATGTTGCTAGATCTTTTTTATAATTCTTGTTTCTTGATCTTATGACATAATTAAATGCTTCAAATTGAATTAGTATAACAATTTTTATGTCTGCTTTTGTGAGTTGATTACTTCATGAGTACATTTAATGACATTGTAATATTTTATCTCTCTGAGCTTCATTTAATTTTTTAATTATTCATATTTAGAAATATTTTCAAACCATAATACTTTATTTTTAATACTCATTTTTGTATTACAATATATTCATTTTTTACACAGGATCTTCCACTGAAACAATGATCAATCTTTCTAATAATAAAAAAGATTATATTAATATTTTTACTCAATAAGCTCAGAAAGATATACAAAAATTGTATAATTAGGCTTCCTATTTACAATATACGTTTATTGTAAATTTATTACCAATCAGAATTTATTTTATACAAGAAGTCTTATAAGAATGTCTAGAATTATAAATTCACAAATTTTTAAAACAAACTTTTATTCAAAAATTTACGAACTATGTAAATATTAAATTGTTTACTGCCATAAAAAATTGATAATTTAATTTTGATATTGAACAAATTTTTTATTTTTATTGATTCAAAGTATTCCACTGATACATGTAATGTAGACAGTCTTTTTCTGTATGATATTTAATTAAATATGAAGACCCATTTTTAGTTACAAATAAGTACAAAAAATTATTTTCTCAATAAGTCCGTTGTGATGACTCATACCAAATGAGAGATACGTATATAATCATTTTCACAGTGTAGTTTTGAATGACATTGTGTGACTGAGTGAATGTACTTCTATTTAAATTCTTTTAATTATGAAGTATGACTGTAGGTTGCGATTGATCTGAGATATTACAAGGTGTCTATAATTATAGTGATCAATAATGAACAGAAAATATAAATAAATATAGTTTGTACGATAATTATATGACAATGTTGATGATAATAATTATCGACACAAAGCATGTGTGGATGCATAAAAAAAAGTGCAAGTTGCGAACGCATATATACGAGCTAATGAACGCGGGAATGTATGCACATATAGAGAATATGTATACACAAAGTTATTGTGAAAGTTGTCAAACTGAGAAAATGCATAAAGGTGCCTGCCAGAAGTGAAAAAAGTCTAAACACATTAGTGGCAGTGCTCAAACGCGATCAGTTTGCAAGAAACTTATAGGGTATTTTCACTGATAATGTAAATGCTGCAAAGTTAACAAATACAATTTTAATTCACAGATTCATTATATCATAAATGTTTAAATCTTGTATCATTGTAATTAAAGATATGTATAAATATCATAATCCAAATGTATAAGAAATAAATATATTGTACCATGACGAAATGTCATATAAATCAAGTTTGTTGTTCTAAAAGTTTATGAAATACATTAAAGTACATTCTGCAAATATAATGTTCCCCTTAATCATTAAATATTAAAAATATAAAAAGCATATAATATTCAATTTATATTACATTTAAATTTTATACATAAAATGTAAGTCTACAATTATATTACGCGAACAAAATATATACGTATTAATTTAGATATAAAGTAAAAAGAATATTAATGTGGAGTTGGTGTGTGGCCATCTACATAAAAATTTCTTGTTGCTTTGGGAAGTTCTAATTCAATACCATCTAATTCTTTTGTTAATATAATTTGACAACCTAAAAATATGAAATTATTTTAATATTTTATAAAATTAATATTAAATATAAAATGTGTTGTATTTGCTTGTACCTAGTCTTGAATTTTCCTTTAAGAAAGGTGCTAAATCTAATAGATCTTCCTCTTTTTCTTCAGCTATTGGAAGTTTGTCCATATAATCATAATGTACATACACATGACAAGTGGTACAAGCTAAAGATGCTTCACAGGCACCTTCCATTTCAATTCCATATCTATGAGCTAAATATAATACATTATCACCTACTTTTCCTTTCACAGGTATTCTTTTCCCCGTTTTGTCAATAAAAGTAATATTTACACTATAACATTTAATAAATTATATTAATTAAAACTTATAATAGTAAGGTTCTTATTTCTTTTTCAATATAATGGAATTACAATATTTATTTATAATGATATATATGTAAGTTTACCTACATATCAGCTTCTGATTTTGGATCCTGCATTTCATATTCACCATGAAAAAGATCTGGAAAAGATTTAATATTCACATAAAATAATTTGCCTTTATGTAATTAGAATACATATTTAAGCATTTCATATTTTTTTTAACAAGCTATATTTATATAAGTATGTGATAAAAATATATTTACATTTTGACGTATGGATGTCAAAATTTGAAATGGTTATTAACTGATTTTTTGATAAAAGTGGTCTTTTTATTATACTTTTCCATGCTGTTGATCTCAGAAGAAATGTCATTTTTCTATATGACTTTAATCCTAATTTTTGTAACAATATTATACTAGTATCGCGAACATTTTACAAACAGAAACATCTACTTTCATTCCAATGATCACAAAACAAAAGATCAGCAACTTCATGTAATGAAGAGGTTGAAGTATTAAGTATTTGATAAAAAGTCCCTATTCTTTTGCGTTGGAAATGAAGTTAAAAAATATATTCTTTACTTTTCCTTATTAATTTTGAGAAATTAAATTAATTAAACTGATTTTTAAAATGAGTTTTGATTTCTTTAAAAGTAAAAAATGAAAAATTGAGAAAATTTTACCATAATTGTAAAATGTATTTGAAAAGTTGGTATTATTTACTGCATGTCTTCTTATGGCGCTGATTTTATGATGATATTTATATGCGACGAGTACTTATGTAGATTACCGTCTGAGTTGATAAGCAATATTATAAAAGTACTATGCGCTGCACAAATATTCCGAGAGAGTACTCCACTTACATGATCTGTCGAATTTCTATCTAAAACGTCTACATATACGCTAGTTGTTCACATGCAGTATGGTTGTCGGATTCCTATAGACGCCATATATTCGTGTCCTGTTCCAAGCTCAAGAATTCTTACCCGAGACGGTTTTTGAATGATTTTAATCAAACTATTTTTAATAATAAAAAATTCTTGACTTTAATTAATTAAAATCAATCTTTATGAACATGTTATATTAATATTTAATATAATAATGACTGTATACTAGATAATTCTAATTAAAGCTAACTTTTTAATTTTTATGTCAGTGTATAAAGTCACTCTGTTCCAGTCAATTTTAATACGTCCCGTCCTCTTTCTTTGTTCCGAATCATACTTCTAATATTAGTAATATGTACTTGCTTCCAAATCTCATTGTAAACGTCTACGCCAATGCTTTGAAGTTTGCGCTTCGCTTATTATCGTCCTATCCCACTCAATCTCAATGTGACCAATTCACTCTCTTCGCCATGCAATGTCCTACTTTTATGATTGTGTTAGAAAAGGAGCGTCTTTCGGGATATAACCAATCGGACTCGCATTCCTTCCGCGGGACTTCTCAGCAACACATAACAAAGTGTTTGAAGTTTTACGTATTTTGTGTAATTTGACTTTATTACTGTGTTATTTATTTCTTATACACAAGTGTTTTAAAACTCCAGAAAATTGCTAGCAATGCAATGTATCAAGTTTTCATTAGTGGATATCGTTTGGCCGAAATGTCACACGGCAAGCCCTATTATGTTTATTGTATTGAGGTTCTGGAATCGGAAAGTGGTACTAGATACTTCATCGAGAGAAGATACAGTGAATTCAACACGTTACATCGCACGGTATGTTATTTTATTAATTCGTATTGCTCGTCATATTTGTATCTGAATAGCTTTTTTGGTTATAAAAAAAAAAGAAACATCAACACATTTTAAAGAACCGTATACAATAATTTCTTTTTGACGTTAGTACCTTTATTTATACTCTGATTATATTTTGCTCTTCGAATGATACAATAATCTCAATAAATTTAAAGATTTGTCCCATTATAGAACTATATATTTGATCTATGTATATCTGCCGTGATTCTCATGTTACGAAGTAAGAGAGAGGTGGATAGACATATGTTTGTCCTTGTTTAGAGTTTTTTCTATATTGTGGAATGCAGATCGGAAGGATAATTTGATTTATTCTAATTTCTTTTTTTATTCAATTTCGTTTACAGGTAATAATAAGCGTGTGATTTAGATCAATATTTATGACAAGATACATGCTACAAAATAATAAATAATACATAACATACCTATTACATAACATACCTATATATACCTGTGTTTACATTACAGATTGACAGTTTTTATTGCAATCGTATACATGACAATATTCATCTCGAGATTTTTCTTTTTTAATTCTTTCACTTAGGCCGACCTTTTTTTTTACTATTAAACTTGTATAATTTAAATATTGTTTTCGTTATGCAACATGATACTTTTTTGATAATGTATGATTAATCATATTAATCAACGTTTTAGTGATGACTTATGTAGCTGGCGTTCACTGAATCGACTGAGTAAAAAACATTCGTACAACTTATACATATGTGTAGCTAGCATTTTCATGTACTTTTAGAACACGATTGCATTGTTTGAAAGTCCCGCGCGAAATAAGCAGTTAGTGACAAAATATCTCAATATATGTGCACAGCTATTAAGGCGTAGTTATGTTTCAAATTGTAAGTTACAAATATAAATTGACGTTTTGTGTTTTGTCTATTAATTATTAATAGCAATAATGAATTTTTTTATTTAAGAATTCTGCCCATTTGGAATTCATACATGATAAAAGAGACATATTTACCGAGTTGAATTTAAAGTGCAAAATTTGTGTCTAAATACAGTAATTTGCTTACTTTTTATATAATCATTTAAAGCGAAATAACGGTGTTTCCATTCTCTTTTGTGACAGACACAAAACGATAGATATAAATTATATCTTTTTAAATTTATTTTTAGTGATAGATTACTCGTTATAATTTTAAAGATATATTATGTGATTTACTTCAGTTACTTTATTGCAAAATTGAACATAATTATACTGGATGTTCGTCCTAACGGTTGCCATGATTTTTCGGGCCTTTACGCTAATCTGATGAACAAAATACTTCGAACAAGAGTTACTCGGTATTTCGATAATAATAAATTACAATAAAAAAAAATGTTTGGAAAATTTTTTATCGAATAAAAAATTAGCATTATCTATTTTGACTTTGTTGTTGTTTGTTGTTGTTTTTGACATTGGAGTAATAAAGTATAGGATTTTAACAATTTCCAATGATATTTAGACGATTCTGAGTTTAAACCTGTAAACATTTTATTATATTAAGAAAATAAATTGCTTTATAAACGAAACATGAACGTAACTCACAAATAATGCTTCCTAGTTCAATTTCGACATTTGTTCTAAATTCCTCCTTTTGTTCATGATAGTATTATTGTTATTATAATATTATAACATGTAACACGAATAGAAGGTCAAATCTAAGATAAGTTTGTGCACTGCTAATGTCTCTAATACATTCTGATACATTTCTGACTGTTATTTTTCAAATTTCCAACTCGAAAAAAAGTTTCTTAACCTCTTCTTTAATTAATCAGAAAGTTATTTTCAGTTAACATTTTCTTTAGGAAATTTATATTTTTAATAATTTATTTATTTGTATATAGTATAAAAATTTACACTTTCAACGAGTGATTCATTTATAACATTTCGTGATATACGATATATACATATCACGAACGGGAATGCGCATGCGCATATATACGCGGTCAATTCTGTTTCGTAAAATTTTTTGTTAAAATGTTCTTGTTTTCGATAAGACGGATCATAAAATTTTGTTGTCACCTTTCTTTTATATCGTGCACTAAAATTTCTTAATTCGATCTTTTCTTATATTTCAGCATTATTTGTTTTAACGTATCAGTGCTTTGTCGTTACCACACGAGGTTTATTAACGTTTGTTTGATTATAGTTGAAGAAAGAAAACGCGGACGTTGCTCCGTTTCCGCCGAAGAAGGTAAGAAATTCTCAACCAAAAGTGCTCGAGCAAAGACGAATAACATTGGAACTATACATTCAAAAAATGTTAAGTCTCTCAGCCACGAAGCAACAGGTTCTCAATTTTTTGGGCATAGAAGGTCGAACATCTGGTGCATCATATAAAAGGTATGTATAGACATGTAAGAATACGTGTAAAATTTGTTATTTCATCACATTATTTTAGGAAAATGTAGTTTTTTAAAAATATTTTTACTTTCGATTTCTTAACATAATTTCATACCTTGCTTTATAACATAAATGAAAAATTGATAATCTAATACGTATATATTTTTATATTTAATGAAAATATTCTGTTTCAGTGCGTACAAGGATACGGAGGATCCACAATACGTTGATACTAATGTTCTCAGCCATCAACCTGTATTAACTTTTCATTGTGATCCATACGTTCAGCCCAGCGCCACATCGAGCAGTCTTCCAGATATCGTGATCAATGGAGTGCTATTGGGCATATACTAATTCTTGAAAAGCTTATTGGTTGATTATAATGAAGTCAAAAAGCGTCAAAAGAATCATACATCATGTGGGAAATTTTAACTCTGTATTATTATAATTTTCATGAAAATTAACGAGGCGACTTTTGCTCGTTTCTCTTTATCTCATTGGAGATAAAGCAGTGGGCGTATTTTATATATGTACTACATATGTACTAATGTATCGCTGTCGGAATACCCGACAATATGAGATATTTGTGCAAATTCGATTAACAAAGGATGCAAGGAAGGGAGGATCAATTTACATGTGATACGATTGTACTTGAATCGATATTCCATTAAGAGATTAGAAAATGCGCAAGTGTGCATGTAATCAAGGCATGTAAAAAAATATACGCGTTATTATATTTGAATCATCGTCTTGTTTATTTCATCTCATTATTCTCAGAGTTTACATTACTTGTGACATTCATCTTAATTCTATTTAACTTTATCGTACTGGATATCTGGATTGTAAATGTAAATGTAACTCATAAGCGGATCTTTTTGCGGTATTTTTTATTCGCATTAATTCGTTTACTACCGTTTAGAGTGGACATCACGGACACTCGATAAAACCTACCGTCGATATAATACCCAATTAGGTCACGGTGTATCGCGATGGCGCTTCCTCCGTGTCTGAGACACGGGTACAACAGCGTTCTTTCTTTCTTTTACGAGATGTTCATCTTCGAGGAACGATTCATGTCGAATGATAAATATTATCATGAAAAAAATACGTTTCTAACTGATTCCAGATAATGATATACGTCTTTTTTTTGTTTCTCATCTGTATGCATTTCTTTTGCTGCTGTCGCTGCTGATAGGCGATTACGCGATTACGGATGGTTTAGCGAGTGATTCATCTAACGCCTGGTTGTTTATCATTATAGCCACGAGATTAGTTTGTCTCTGCCATTAATCGGACCTATCGATCTCCTATCTTAAATCTGTCCTATCGAACGCTAAAGAGTAAACGGGCAGAGGCATGAAACAGGTGAAAACGGTGAATTCAGGCGGTGTAATTCGTTTGGTCCACTGGATCGGGCGTGTTTGTGTCGCACTCGACGCGCAGTTTTCTTGTCTTCGATGTGCTCGGGCTTGCTGAAAAATAGGAAATCTCTCTTCTTTCGCTTTCGCGGTCGTGCCGCTACGCGGCGTGACGTTCTCTTTCTCGCGTTTAGAAAAACTTGGAAAAATGGTACACATGCAAACCGGAGACGCCGTGACAACGGTAGTAACATGTATTCGCGATAGTAGGACCTTGTTTCGTATGTACAACTTACAATCTTTTTATGCTGTTACAATTATTATGTCATGGTAATAAACTGAACCTCCCGGTGAACGCCTCGTATTTTTTATATCAAACGTACTGCATTAAATGTATAATTATATACAAGCTCCTCAGTCTTGTGCGAAGTGTAAGACGATTTTAGGTTCTAGCACTTTCGCCTCGGTGAAAACTAACCGTTACGAATATTATATTATTTCTCGAATTATTCTTCCCATCAAAACGTTTCGTTTTATTCCCCCTCTTGTTCTGCTTTTGCTTTTTCTCTTTTTTTTCCTCTCTTTTCTCCTTTGTACGCGATCGTAGTTATATTGTGTATCGTGCAAACGGGTCGAAAGACGATTCTTTCCATTTCTCGTATGAACCTGTTCTTTCGTCGCGAGCTGGCGAGATACAAAATTCATCGTTGAGTAGCTTAGCGGTAAATGTTACATCGTAATTTAGAAGCTTATTGCCCGTGCGTGGCAGTTTTTTCTTTGAACTTTGAACGTCATTCGATCCGATCTGTTGTTCGATTTCAAATTCGACTCGCTTTCCTCATGGGTATGCGTATTTGTACCTAACCTAAGAAAAGTAAACGGGAAAAAGATACAGATCCTTCTTTCACAGTGAATATAACCATTTCACGACTTTGGAGTGGTGTGATTTTTATGGTTACCAGTAATGTATCTCTAACACCTAGTCAGTTACTTATGTCGTATAAGTCTCAAAGTGTAACTTAAGAGTAAAACGGAGCTGTTGGTTGCCGTATAATACGCGGACAGTATAGGTCAGCGCATCATTTCACAAGGCAATACATCTTGAAATCAATATGGTAAAATCATTCCTGTTATCTGTTATCGATAAAACGTAGCAAAAATCAGTAGCGTTAAACGGTAGTAAATAATACTATTCGTAATATGTCAAGGTAGCTGTTATTAAGATATTATCCATTCTCTTCACCCCTATACGTATATACGTAGTATTATTACCGTATGTATACATTGAAAAGAAGCTCTAACTTACGGTCTTTCAGAACGAAATGAGTATTATTGTACAAATCAGAAGTTTCGTAAGTCGTTGAACATGCATACAACTCGCACGCGTGTTTGAATAACGTACAACATTAATCCTTTATTTGATACTGTCATATTTAAGTGACAGGTTTTTCACCCTTCTCGCTAGTTTTTTTTTCTTTTACACGGTACTGCTCTATGAGTTTCCCTGTCCATCAAATAAAGGATCAAATGCAGATTCACTGTATTGGGCGCAACTACAGACGTACTGAAAGCAACCGTCCTTAATGATTCGTTCACGCGTTGACTGTTTAGCTGACCTTTCTTGTTGACATTTTGACAACAACTTAAGTAACTGATACACGTAACGCCGAGGACAAGCTTGTTTCTTCGGTGAATATAAATAACCTCATTTTTACTACGTTAGTATTGTCCAAGAAGTCTCTACAATCTCATTCTTCTCTAAAGACCATTGTCAAATATAACAAAGTGCAAGGAGAGATTCGCTTTAAAAATGATTCCATTAATTAACACGTTTACTACGTATTTTTAAAAATCACAAAATTTTGAAAAAATACCTTCGATATGATTCTACAAAATAGGAATTTTGTATGAAAATTACACGTTGATACAGCATGGTTAATGAAAATCTGATTAGCAGTAATCGTGTTAATTTTCCCGCGAAATTCAACTTGGGCAACACCTTGTTGCACAGTGCAAGGACGAATGTCGTACTATCTAATTTAAACTAAGATTCCATTTGCTCGCAGATTCTCTTCGCTAAATCTAATATTCGAAGATGTCTATAGTTTGCAGAATCTTAACTGGCCGCAATTTTAACGTCGCTCGCAATTACCATCGACTTCCTTTCAACGCGTGAACGAAGTTCGCCATGATGGTTTTATGAACCGACAGTGAACGACATCGGTGATTTGCGTGGTATAGAAGAACGGCGCGGTTGGATGACTCGTTTCGTGTGCCTTTATCGATTACTTCTACGTGTATGCCATCGCCTACGTCAACGCTATTCCACCTACGCTCTAACTAATATTAATTAGGGCTACGATACTATGTACAGAAAACGCATTGCATTGGCACAGCAAACATGTGTGCCCGGACTGCCATCCGTCGTTTCGACGCATAGCGTGCACTTTAACGCACGGTCGGTACTGTTCGTAGTACTTGGGTACTCGCATTTGTCATGCTCTGCTATCTTACATCGAAATAATCATAGCGTATAAATCAAGGTATTTCTGACATTATCAGTTTTCTAGTAGTTACCTATTCGATGGGATAATTCTTTTCAACGAATTTTACCCGCAGTCCAATCCGAATATTTTTTCGTATTATACGAGACGATTATTTTTCACATTATCTTCGGGTCTTTCTTCGTCAAGATCTAATTATTTAACGCACATTTTTATCGAATCGAACCTGCTACTGCTTTTAGAAAGTTGCATATAAGAATTTCTTTTATGAAACAATAAACGATAAAGCGTTAACGTTTCATATGTATTAAAATGAATGGAGTAGCATTTTCTGACCTTGGCCTTTGATGTTCCTACTATTGATAGTTTTGCTTATCAAGCATTGGTCTCTGACATTTATGATACGTGAACTTTGATCTACGTACTTATGATGTATTAATAGTCTCTAAACTTCGACTCAAGTTGATATCGTTGCAATACTTGACGAAAAGCGTATTATATCTAGTCGTTTTCCAATTTCCTATTTATCATTATTTGAAAACGATGTATCCTCGATGGATAATCGTTATCGGGATTATCGATACATTAATCGATATCTACTATCAATGATGATAGCCCGAAACATCTATCGACACCGTTGATATTACAGAAATAAATGTAGATATTGGAACGACAAATTACAAAGTGTTTAACTGTAACTGCAAAGACGTATTAACTAATATTTAACCGATAATTGGCTCGTTTGTCGCGTTTCACCGACCGTACGTTCAAATCGGATTATCATAATTGAAAATGTCAGTCGTAAAGCCTGACAAGTCCGCATTACCCGACTTAATAAGATTTGCGCTCGCGCGAGTTGTAATTTCCTTTTTGTTACACAGTAAAAAATTCGGTGTCGAAAAAAACTTACGGGGATATAAATATCGGATTATCCGAGAAATTCTTGCCGATTTCCAACGCATCAGATTGCTCTCTGAATATCATTACTTCGAGTACCAGGAAATTATGCATAGGTAAAAAAATTAATCTCCATATTTACTTCAAAATTCCTATCGCAAAGGAACATCGGCACGATTTTCTCGGACACAATGAATCGTTCTTCCAATCGTTACTTAATCATTTTCACAACTCTTTTATTCAAACCATCACGTAACATAAAAAGGAAAGGGGGGTCGTTACAATTACAGCATATAAAACGAAGCTACATGATATACAAAATAAAAGAATGCTACTTTCACGCACGTTTCTTATTAATTAATTATACAAGGAATTTAAAACTACGCCTAGTTTCGACAAACAATCGAAGAGGAATACTTTCTAAAGAAAAACACGCAATCGTTAAACGAAGAAACCGGTAGGGGACTTGCCCGGCTTTGCAACCGACGCTCGGTACCTCCTGTTCACTCACGAGGTCGCCATAGCAGAAGTTACTCATCATTGGACACACACTTTGCCAACGGTACAACCTGTCTACAAACATTTTTGTCATCCAATTATCGCAAGGTTTAGAAAAATCGCTATTCGTCAACCGGTCGGCAGTCCCGGCTCCTACTTGGAATGTTGCATTTACTTTACCTAATTAATGCGATCTTTATTATATCATAGACTATAGCGCTAGTGCGTGACGCGTTTCCGGTCCCAGGTATGCGTCGCTGAATTTTCTCTGAAGTTCTACCCGCGGATCGAACGTCGATTCGACTTTCAAATCTAGGAAATGTACAGAGCGGGGGAAGAATCGGGGGCGTCTGAGAACTCTGGGTGCACAGGAGGGAGGTTAACGTCCCCTTCTGGCGGAATAACTCGAATACTTCCAATTTATTCGAATCGTTTGAATACCTCGCCCATTGCGCGAGATATCGC